AGCGGGTATCCAACTAATAAAACTTCATCTGATGATTTCAATGCTTTTGTGTGTTTCTTTTTTATTGACTCCTCCAGATTGTTTTTTGTTGATTTATATTTCATATGTACAAGAGATGCCATTTTTAAAATTTTGTATAAGAGATGCCATTTTTAAAATATTTTGTATAAGATGTCATTTTTAAATCTTTTGTATAAGAGATGTCATTTTTAAATATTTTGTATAAGAGATGTCATTTTAAAATTTTGTATAAGAGATGCCATTTTTAGATCTTTTGTATAAGGGATGTCATTTTAAAAAACTTTTGTATAAGAGATGTAATTTTTAAATCTTTTGTATAAGAGATGCCATTTTTAAAATGAATTAAGACTTTTATGACTAATAGGAAAATATTAACAATTAAAACATGATGATTGATTTTTTACTTTAAAATGAATGCAAAAATTAATATAGCTGTAGAATTAGTTCATTTTTTATAACGATACATTTCAAGTTACATTGCCTGTTACACAACTACCTGTGGGCTGCCTGCCCTTTACATAGTCTGCTATGTAACCTGCTGCCAAACTTCTACAATGCCAGCTGAATACCTGGCCATTACGTATAAAATGTAATTTAGTATAAATTATAACATAAAATATAATATAAAATATAATGTAAAAGATAATGTAAAATATGATATAATATACAATGTAAAATGTAATGTAAAGTACAATGTAAAATAAAATGTAAAATCAGTAGTTATACACGCAATTTTATTTGATGTTTTTTGACATCAAAATGAAATCATACAAAAAACTGTTTAATGTCAAAAAACATCAAATAAAAGTGCAATGGCGCTTTTTTTTTAAATTATTTAAAACGTTTTTTATTTACTAAAACAACCATAACTCCTTCATAAATTTTTTTTTTTTTTTTTTTTTTTTTTTGCCAAGATTACCCACCAATTGAATTAAAAAAAGTTCATTTTTTACTTTTTTGCTATACATTATAATTTTCAGTGGCTGGTGAACTTTAATTCAAATAAAACTCAATTTTTTTCAGCCAATCGTTATCGCAATAATTTAGACCTTCCTATATTTATGAACGGTAATGTATTCGATGAATCATCTACCCTTCATCTTCAAGGATTAACTCTCACTTCTGATCTTTCTTGGAAACCTTATATCAAATCCTTTGCAAAATTAGCATTTTTTTTTTTATTATCTTTGCTTCCAACAAGGCTGTAAGCAACCACTAATTAGTGTTGGAAGTTACTGGAAGAGAAAAGATGAAGATTATAGAGCAAGATAACGATTGACAGACGACTTAAAAGATTGCAAATTATATGAATCAGGAAAGCAAGATGAGGGAAGCGAATTCCAAAGAACTGATGTTCGAGGAAAAAAACTAGACAAGTAAGAGTTTTTGGAGCATATAGGAACAGTAACAGAAAAAGGATGAGACTTAATTGAATGACGAGTAACACGAGAATGAATTTTAGTACATGGCACAAGAGGCGCTAGCTCTTACGAGCAGTGCCCATTATAGTATTTGTAAAAAAGAGAAAGAGAAGCAACATTACGACGATGTGACAGAGATTGAAGGTTGGCTGCAAGAGCAGGTCCTACTATGTTTACAATTTGCCTTTTTGCACCATGTCTAAAAGAGAAAAGGCATCATTAGAAGATCCACCCCAGATATGGCAACAGTATTCCATACATGGCCGGATTTGAGACTTATAGAGATAGAGAATAGAATCTAGAGTAAGAAAGTGACAAGCTCGATAAAGAGAAGCAACTTTAGCAGATGCTAATTTTGCAACGGATTTGATATAAGGTTTCCAAGAAAGATCAGAAGTAAGAGTTAATCCTAGAAGATGAAGGGTAGGAGACTCTTCGAGTACATTACCATTCATAAATATAGGAAGGTCTAAACTATTGCAATAACGATTGGCCGAAAAAAATTGAGTTTTATCTGAATTAAAGTTCACCAGCCACTGTGAGCCCCATGCTGTAGCAGAAGTGAGATCCTTTTCAAGCTTAGATGCCCCCTGCAAGCAATCAGAGGGAGTTGACTTCTTATCGTGACAAGAATAAATGGTAGTATCATCAGCGAACGTTGCCACCTTAGATGTGAGAATATCTGGAAGATCGTTAATGTAAATTAAAAAGAGTATAGGGCCAAGGATTGAACCTTGGGGAACCCCTGAGGTTACAGAATAAGAAGAAGAGTGCTGTCTATCAAGGACAACTTTTATACTATGATTTGAAATAAAAGGATTCAATAATCACTACCGCTACTTATGCGGTAGTAGTGTAGTGGTAGAGCGCTCGCTTCATAAACGAGTGGTTCGGAGATCCTCACCACGTCCCTGGTAGTACCGCGCTCAACTCGTTTCTCCGCGCAGCAGCCTTGTTCCTCAAGGTTCGTGTTTCGGAGTTATAGAGTTGAGAGAGGGTTATAGCCACAAATAAGTAGCCTCCTCGTCTGTAGTGGCCTTCTCGGCCTTGAGGAGGTGAATTAAAATTAAAAAAAAAAAAAAAAAAGAGTGACTTCTTATGAATGTAAATGCCCAGGCCTAGCATGTGACTATTGGAGTCTTTACGAATTAAAGGAAGATAACCATCAACACTAAGATCACAAGATGAGACAGCTGAACTCAAATTAGTTTCACAAAGAGCAAGTAGGTCTGGTGAACTTTGCAAGAGATAAGACTCAACAGAAGAAAAGTTACTTCGAAGACCACGAATATTTGTGAATGATAGGTTTAGCGAACTTGGTAATGACTGTGGTTTTTTGTATTTTATAGTTTTTGTTACTTTATTCGTTTTTAAATTTGTTAAAGAACTTGACTCGAAACATAGATTGTACTCAGTACACTGTTATATAGCTCACGCAGTTGCCTCATTTCCACTAATAAACCCTAAGCCGTAACAAAGGGCTCCAATGTGGCCTTAGCAATGCACACCAAAAGTACAAACAATTACACCATCCATGCGCAACATGGCACTGTTAGTACTCTGATATTTTTCAGCTGTTGATGGAATCAGCCTCTCTGAGAGCTACCACAGAATTTGGGAAACCTGACTACCAGCTGGCCTCAGAACCATAAAACTGAGTTTTAGAGCTGTACCCTCATTTGGAGATAATAGAATGAGTTGCCTAGTCATAAAAACAGAGACACAAGCAAAACCCATGCATCGAGTCAAGAAGATCCAAGCCCCAAGGCAGGGAGTGTTTTATGTCGGAGTTTGCATCTCCTAGCCTTTGCCTAAAAAAGCATATCCTACAAGGCAGCAGGACATGAAGCAGATTGTACTGGGTTACAAGTTACCAGTAGCAGGATAAACCTGACCTGACCATCTGCTAAAGTTGCTTCTCTTTATCGAGCTCGTCACTTTCTTACTCTGGATTCTATTTTCTTACTTTGGATTATATTTATCTCTATAAATCTCAAATCCAGCCTTGTATGGAATACTGTTGTCATATCTGGGGCGGATCTTCTAATGATGCCCTTTCTCTTTTAGACAAGGTACAAAAACGCATTGTAAACATAGTTGGATCTTCTCTTGCAGCCAACCTTCAACCTCTGTCACACCAACACTTATTAGTAGTTGCTTGCAGCCTTGTTGGAAGCAAAGGTGTTTAAAAAATATATATATATATATTATGTTTAGAATTTTCTTTAACAAAAACATGAAAATAATTATTTTATCTTAACCCTTTGACTGCAGCAAGCCAAAATATTGGCTATTAATAAGGTCTTCAAAACTGTGACCTTTAGCTAAAATATCGATTTCAGTAATTTATAGATAGTACCACTGAATAGTGTATACGTTATACTGTGAAAATGAGCAATTGTTTTTTATCATTTTAGTTTAATTTTTCTAAATAAAATTTTTAGTTGAATTTTTGAAAATATCTTTTAATTTTATCGCACAGTCAAAGGGTTAAAACAAAAAAGTATTTTTGTTGCTTTCACAAATTTTAATCTATGGTGGAAATTGTTTCTACATAATGAATTAGTTTGCAAATAAAAATTCTTTAAGAAAAATTTTCTTAAAAAATTATTGCATAACGATTTAAAAAAATTTTTGAAATCATATTTAATTTGAATTTTTTAAATTAAAAATAAATTATTCAACATTATTTAAACTTTCACAAATGCAGTTAACATGTTTTTAGCAATAATTAATTACAACTTTAACAAATAATAAATAATTTTAATAAATGCTGCTTAAACAATATCAAAAAACAGTTTAAATGTTCCAAGTTATAAAGGCTTAATGTAAATTGCTGAACAGGTATGTGAAATGGCCATTTTGTATGTAAAATGTATACAGTGTAATGCTTCATAACAAGGCCTACCAATTAAATTTATCTTTCATGAAGTCTTTTTGGACCTATGTCTGATCCATCACAGAAAATTTGTATTTCTTGAATTGTGGCAACTTAAAGTTAATGAAGTAAACGTAAACAAGAAGTCATTAAGGTTTGTAGCTATAAAGTACAATCCCTAATGATCAGTTAAAACCTTGACTACTGACTGTGAGATAGTTATTATATTGTTTCACATTGATTAAAACAAAAACTAAAATATGTTTAGGTGTGTTTTTTTCTGTTAATAAAATAGTTGAATTAATTTTCGTAATTGATTTATAATAAAAATGAAACAGGTTTATTTAAAATAAATATGAAACAGGTTCATATAAAATAAAAATGAAACAAGTTCATTTATTGAGTAAAAGTAATGAAAACTATTAATTCTTTAAACATAATTTTTTTATCAGTATTGAATATGGCCGCCAATAAATAAGTTCACAACTTTTGACTTGAATATCTACGTCATTTTTGTCATGTTTGAAGTATTGGAGTACAAGCTTATTTTTCTGAATTTTTTATTGAAATTTATTATTAGAACCCTATTGTCTCTATGATGCTTTTACAGCAACTTATAAATATTTAATAGTAAATTTAATAAAAAATCTAAAGTAAAACTTACTACATTTTCAATTAAGAGTGGTAAGACATGGCAAGTTGTTGATCTTCCTGGACATGAAAGAGTTCGAGCTAAGTTTTTGTACAAGCATAAAGATGGAGCAAGGTTTGAATCTTGAATGTTGTTTGAGCAATGTTTGAATTTTTCTTTCCACTTTTTATATGGTACATTTTTATTTTTTAAAGTTTTTAAAACTGTTTAAAGAAAAATCATTTTAATAAAATTTAAAGAGAATTTGTTATTGACAGTGTTGGTTTTTATTCTAAATAAATATATTTTTTTTAGGGGTTTATATTTTTTATTGACCGTGTTTATTTTTTATTCTAAGCAAACATTTTTTTTAGGGGAATTATATTTGTTATTGACAGTGTTAATTTTCCAAGAGAATTACGTGATGTTGCAGAGTATGTATTCTGAAAATTTTTTTATGTTTTTAGCTTTTTTCATATTTTATAAATTTATATTTTAGCTTTTTTCATAGAAACTTTGTGTGTAGACCGCTTTTACGCAAAAATTTATAATCCTCTTTTATGCAAATTTTTGTGTATGGGCTACTATATAAATATACTCAAAGTATTTTACAAATTTTTTTAAGTACTTTTTTTTTTTATAAATAAATGTGTGTGTAGCTGTGTATATATATATATATATATATATATATATATATACATATATATATATATATATATATATATATATATATATATATATATATATATATATATATATATATATATATATATATATATATATATATATATATATATATATTTATATATATATTTATATATATATATATATATATATATATATATATAATATATATATATATATATATATATATATATATATATATATATATATATATATATATATATATATATATATATATATATATATATATATATATATATATATAGATAATGGTATGACTTTAGAGTAATATCTAAATAATATTAAAAGCAAATAAAAATATGAAATTAGAAAATGTATATATATATATATATATATATATATATATATATATATATATATATATATATATATATATATATATATATATATATATATATATATATATTGCTTTGGTATGACTTTAGAGTAATAACTAAATAATATCAAAAGCAAATAAAAAGATGAAATTAGAAAATATGTATATATACATGGCCGTAGAGAGGGGGGTCAGGGGTATATTGTCCTGGGGCTCAGGTCTGTTCAAGGGCCCGGACTTGTGAATTATAAAGTATTATATTTGCCTTTTTAAATATACTGCATTTGGATTGGTTATTCTAATTACAGTTTTTAACATTAGTGTCACCGTAAACGTTTAAATGCAAAACATAATAAATATTTTATAAATTTTATAAGCTAAGTTATTCGGAAATAAATCAAAAAGAAAATATCTCAAGAAAAAAATTATGTAGTAAAAAATATACTTTGAACACATTATTTGGAAGCATTTATAGTTTGTATAATTCGAGTACTTTAGATCATTTGCAGAACATTAAATCACTTGCGGTATTTTAAAATAAAAGAAAAAGAATGCCAGAAAATTGTCTATTCGATTCTACAGTTTAGTTTATTTTTATGTTAAAGTTTAGGTATAAAACATTCAATTATAAAAATTGCTTTATTTAATAAATTATATGACGCTTAAGATCACTGACATAGCGAATATTTTTGCGACCAGGGCAAAAATGAAATTAATGCGCTTTTTTACAATTAAATTAGGAAATTATTACTTTTTATGTTAAAATTGGTTTTTTTTGCTCCTTAATTTTTTGGGCCTCTTAAAGCCTTCGCGACAGGGGACATTTCGGCTTTGGTCTCCCCTCACTACGCTAATGTTTAGGAGTGTTTGTTGCATATATTGCTTTATAATACATACCATCGATATATCAATGACATATCTTTAATATGGTATATTATATCATATAGAGAATGTTTTATTTACCATAATGATAATTAATGCCAATTTATATAAAATTTTATTTAGTAGTCAAATAAAAATTGAACTACCATCACAAATCTGGATCTCAAAAAAGGAAAGGAAAATTGTCGAGATTGAAAAATGTAAATGAAAAACAAATTCTACTTCAAAGTTATGGATTTTCAGTGTCTTCGAAAGAGAAAGATTTAGAAAATGAATATCATAATGTAGAAGTTAAATTTAACAATAACGACAATAGTCCTAGACTTTAAGATTGATTTTGATTTAAGTTCGACTAAAGACACGTCATAGATTTTAAGTTTGATGTTTTCAATATGAATATAAATATTAATGTAAAATAAAGGGGGCTCACCAAAAAATTTACCCCGGGGCTCGGCTTGGCTCTCTACGGCCCTGTGTATATATATATATATATATGTATATATATATATATATATACATATATATATATATATATATATATATATATATATATATATATATATATATATATATATATATATATACATATATATATATATATATATATATATATATATATATATATATATATATATATATATATATATATATATATATATATATATATATATATATATATACGTATATATATATATATATATATATATATATATATATATATATATATATATATATATATATATACATATATTATTATACATACATATATATATATATATACATATATATATATATATATATATATACGTATATATATATATATATATATATATATATATATATATATATATATATATATATATACATATATATATATATATATATATATATATATATATATATATATATACTATAGCATATTTATATGCGCAATTGCTCACTTTTTTTGCTAGCCTAAATTAAGTGAGCGTTTTTAGAAAACGATGAGGGAAAACGAAGAATAATGAATGAAAAGGTTGCTTACCCATACCAAACCCTCAGAGGCTATTTGTCAGTCGATGTATGTACTAAAGCCCCCGGCAGCAGGCTATTTGACGTTAGGTAGTATAAGATATATATGTATGTCTGTATGTATGTATGTATGTATGTATGTATGTATGTATGTATGTATGTATGTATGTATGTATATATATATATATATATATATATATGTATATATAGTATATATATATGTATATATAGTATATATATATATATATATATAAAATATATATATATATATATATATATATATATATATATATATATATATGTATATATATATATATATATATATATATATATATATTTATATATAATGCTTTGGTATGACTTTAGAGTAATAACTAAATAATATCAAAAGCAAATAAAAAGATGAAATTAGAAAATGTATATATGTATATGTATGTATATATATATATATATAAATATTCATTTATATAATGCATTGTTCAGTTTTATTTAATTTTTTTTGGTTTAGCAAAATTCCATATAATTTTATTTTATATTTTTTTAAAGATTATTGTGAAATTTTTTTTCAGGTTTTTGTATGATGTTTTAGCGAATCGCACAATGCAAAAAAATAAAGTATCGATTCTTATAGCATGCAACAAACAAGGTTAGTTATTTAAGTTAGTTAGTTTAAAGCCTTAGTTAATTATTTATTTTATGCCATTTTAAGAAAATTTTTAGAGAGAAATGTTTGTCATTCTTATTAATAAAATATAGATATGCCCACCGCAAAGTCGAGTCAAGTCATCAAACTGCAGTTAGAGAAGGAGTTGTATGTTTATTAAATACCAATTTACTTAATAATAAGAGTTTTATGTCTTTATCTAATTTTTTATTTTCAATATATATAAAACAACAATAACAATCAGTACACAACTTTTTTTTTAGAATATTAAATTGCTTTTTTTAGAACAACACTAAGACAAACACGATCAGCTGCCTTGCTTGGAATTGACGATTATTCGTCTAGTAAAAATGCATTTATTGGAAAACAAGGTAAAGATTTTGAGTTTGCGCACGTAAATCCAATTAAAGTTCAGTTTTGTGAATGCAACTTGAAAAACGAAAATAGCGAAGAAACACTCTATGATCAAGTGGAAAATTGGATGAACTCTTTGTAAAAGTAAAACTATTTTTTAAAATGTATTTCAAACTTTTTGTAAGATTTAATTTTAATATAAGTTTTTCAATTTAACGTTTAGATTTGTTTGCTTTGGCGATTTTTGACAAATAACGTAAAAACAGAGAACATTTAAATACAAAGGTGGTGGGAAAATTTTAGGATACTTTTAATATACGGCTTTTGCTCTCCTAAGATACTCAATTCTATAATACGAGAGTATGATGCAATAATATATTATATCATTTATTTTTTCTAATTTAGAATTTTATTAGATTTTGATTTGCAATTTTAAAATCTTCTTTCTAAAAGATTTTGAAATTTGTAGTAAAAAAATGTATTTTGTTCTGGAAAATTCGAAACCGTATATTTAAAACTAAAAGTCAGGCGAACGAGATATACATAAAGGCGTAAAGACCAACAATTTGTAATGTTTATTCTATGTGTTACAGGGTGATAAAAATCAACAATTGTGTGTTTTATTTCTGGCCTATAGATATAGATATATATATATTTATATATATATATATATATATATATATATATATATATATATATATACAAATATATATATATATATATACAAATATATATATATATATATATATATATATATATACATATATATATATACAAACATATATATATATATATATATATATATATATATATATATATATATATATACATATATATATATACAAATATATATATATATATATATATATATATATATATATATATATATATATATATATATATATATATATATATATATATATACACAAATATATATATATATATAGGTTATTGATGTAGTGTGATTGTTATTGCAGATTTTTAGTATTTTTAGTTTCAAATAAATAGTTATTTAAGCTATTTAAATATATTAAAATCGTCTAATTAAATATATATATATATTAAAATCATTTACTGAAATATATAAATATAAATTTATTAAATATATATTAAAACCATTTATTTAAATATATATTAATCATTTATTTATATATATTAATCAATATATTATGTATTTACAGTTAAATATTCTATAATATATTTCAATTTTGAAACAACTCTATTAAAAAATGAATATACCGTTACCTGGTATCCATAGGTGAGACTGGTAGTATCACCTAGTAGCCTAGGTGGAGATGGTTGTACCACCTAGTACTTTTTTTTCTTCTCGTGGAGCAATAGTTATAGGTTCAATAATATTAATTCTTAAATGAATAAATTTTTTTAGCATTGAACATTTTAATGTAAGCTTAAAAATTGAGAAAACTCTACAAATATTTCGATCTTAGAGTAATATCTTAAGTATGAACTTCAAAAATGATATTTTGAATATCTTGATATTTTAATGAATATTTATTGATTAAGTTTTTTTTTTGTATGTTACCCCCTAAAAATTACAATTGCAAAATTTTATATCATATAGGGCCTAAAATAAAATTTTTTGGTTTTTGCCTAAAAATTATAGTTCAAACTCTAGCCTCTCTATCAGAAAATAATATTGCAAGTACAGAGTTTAAAAATAGTTTTTTTTTAAAAAAAATAAATCTCAATGCTTTACTATATTGTTTCTTAAATTAAATTTTAGAATTAAATTAGATTGCTTTACTCAACAAAAAATATTTCCTGTGAAATCAAAAAAATTTGCAGCTGGCTGAAAAAGTAAAAAGTATACACTAAAACTGAAAAAGTAAAAAGTATACACCAAAGAAATCGTCAAATAAGTAAGAATCTTCGAAAACTTAAAGAAATCGCCAAATAAGTAAGAATCTTCGAAAACTTAAAGAAATCGCCAAATAAGTAAGAATCTTCGAAAACTTAAAGAAATCGCCAAATAAGTAAGAATCTTCGAAAAATTAAAGAAATCGCCAAATAAGTAAGAATCTTCGAAAACTTAAAGAAATCGCCAAAGAAGTAAAAATCTTCGTAAAACTTTAAAAAATCGCCAAATAAGTAAGAATCTTCGAAAACTTAAAGAAATCGCCAAATAAGTAAGAATCTTCGAAAACTTAAAGAAATCGCCAAATAAGTAAGAATCTTCGAAAACTTAAAGAAATCGCCAATTAAGTAAGAATCTTTGAAAAGAATATTAAAGATATTGAGCAAAATATACAGTTACTTTAGTCATTAAGGGAAAAAAACGAATACGCGAATTAGAAAAGATATTACGCGAATTAGAAAAGATATTATTATCTTTTAATATCTTTTCTAATTACGCGAATTAGAAAAGATATTAAAAATATAAACAAAATAAATTACTTTAGCTGTAAGACTCAATTAATTTTCGATTATCGAAGACGATTAATAAATTAATGAAGCTAAAAAAAAATTATTATATTTTTGAAAACAAACTGAACAATGATATAAGAGGTAAATTTGGTAAAAAATCTTCTATATAATATTGCCGAACTTAATAGTAGTGTCCCTTGGAGCGTATTTGACACGAAACCCTTGGCAGCCATTGCAACCGAGGTATTGGCAAGAAAGAGTCGCAGCGCTATAAGAAAACGTGAACGAACATCTAACGTACGTAAACTTTAACTTATGTAATGTTAAAGCATATGTTAAAACATACTGAAACATTTATCACGTTTTACAGTTTGATTTTTACTTGAAAATTACATTGCGTCAACCTCTCCTTAATTTTGATCTAACATTTTTTTCCTCAAAAAAATTACTACATTATTATAAAATCTACCCTTGGTGATATGCCGGTGTAGCTCGAGTGGATAAGGCGGCGAACTTCTGAACAAGTAACTATAGGTTCGACTCCTACCTAAGGAGGCTATTTTTTTAAACTTTTTTAATTATTTTAAACTTTTTATTATTTTATTATTTTATTATTTTAAACTTTTTTAATTATTTTAAAATACAAAATACTTTCGAAGTTTTATAAAGATTATATACAAACATATGTAACGTAACGATATTATGCACTCACAAAAGAAATGATTTTAAGAATGCTAAAACTTCATAAAACAAAAAAAAAAAAAAAAAAAACATCACCAGGAGAAAAAATATGTTGCGTATCTATGATAATTGAGACACTTATGTTATTAATGTGCGAATGTAATTAGTCCTAATAAGCTGCGGATGGTCTGAAAAAAAAGTTGTCTGAAACTTAATAAAGAAAAAACTTAACAAGACAGCCCTGCTACTTCATAAGATGCTGCTGTGGAGGCAAAAAAAAAAGCCTGTAGTTAGATAAAACTTTAAAACTTTCTTTTGACAATTAAAAGTTTATTTTGCTACATTAACTTTTTTACTATAAATATATGCAGCAACTGTTTTTCAAAACGCCTTAATATGCTTATGACGAAATTCAAAAAAAACCCAATTAAAAATAAAATTGTTTGGAAAAACTCTTCGTAAAACGTTTTTTGAAACAAATAACTTTTATTTAGTTTTTTTTCTTTTGTGCAACTTTCTTTTCAATAAATTTCTTTACCTTTCAGAATATGACCATTTTTAACAATGCTATAGAAAAAATATCGGTAAGCTGATTAGTAGTATTTCAATTATATTAATTAGATTAAATTATATATATTAAATTATATATTATATATATTAAATTAAATAGATAAATAAATTGATATTTAGTTAATACATGGGTATTTTTTTTTTTTTTTATACTTAGTGACAAAATAGACTAATTAGATAAGTCGTTAAGTAGAATGCTAAGAATATATTTATTGCGGTTATTGTTGTTAAGGGTGATTAATAGGCAAATAAATTAAAAGCTAATCAGGGCCTTGAATAAATTATAAACTAATCAGGGAAGTTTTATTGGTAAACCTAATAAATAGGAAGATAACATATAATTCAGGAAAACATTGTTTTCACTTTTTCGCAAAACTTTGATATCTTTGATATTAAAAAATATGACCTTTCCAATAATTATAGATGGTAGTGTATTAACCTTTTTTTTCAGAACCACAATCCGTTATGATTTGTATTTTATCAATGTGAACGAAAGTCTATTCAAATATCTAAATATGTAAACTTTAAGTTCTTTAATTATCAATCAGTATAATTATAAAGTAGATGACATCAAATTCTACCGATTTATTTTTACTTAATAATTTCATTGCGACAATATCTCTTTATTTTAAAGCATTAAATGTTGTTTTTTAAAGTTTGATAAGTTTTCTGTTTATTAAATAGTGTAAAAAGATGATATAGCATTCCACAGCGATTGAAGTGCTTCGCTTCGGTTCAAAACCTTTTGCTTACACAATTTTTTTTTAAAATCCTATCCAGTTTTCTGGAAAACAAAGAAAAACAAGTTTAAATGCATATAGATGTTATACGCATTACATAAAAATAAAGATATAATATACTATAATAAACCAAACGGAGAGAATTTTTTAAAACGTTTTTAAAAATTTTTAAAAACATAAAAACGCTGTTGGAAATTTGTTGCGCATATATCATGATAGAGATACTTATGTTTTAGGTAATTAGTTAAAACTGCGAGTTCAACACACATTAAAGAGATAAATTTCTTTCTTATATATATAAAAAAAAGGTTTTACATGCAATCTGAAATTTTTATTAAAACTAACTGGTCAAGAGTCCTAAAAAGTACGGAAAGGTATGAAAAAAAAAATTGTAATCTGAAACCTAAAAAAACAAATTTAGTTACTCCAGAAGGAGACAAACAGAAAACCCACAAAATTTCGGCTAATCCGCTAATAGAAATGCTCGAATATTAAGATATAAACAAATATTAAATGATTTTTGTATTACGAAACGTACGCCAACTCTTAAACCATTGTAAAACTACCTTGCGGTTATCTAATTAAATCCACCAAATCCGTTAATAAAAACAGCTTAATTAATAGATTCAAAACCATCTGATTTTTGTATTATGATATGTGCGCCAACTGTACTCTAAAACCAATAAAACTCGGCCATGTGGTCTTCATATCGATTATAACAATTGCAAAGCGAGGGACGACAAGTAAGTTGTATCTACAAGTTTAATTATTGTAATCTTCATTTAAAAAATTAAACTTATTTTATAATTACCATGTTAATATGTTTGAAGTTAATATGTTTTTGACCCAATAGAATGAACATTAAGATTATTTTTTAGAAATGAGCAGCCAAGATACAGAAGGTATTCTTTTAATTTTGTATAACATTAATTAATTAAAGAGATAAAAAGAGATGATACGTCAATAATACTGAGATATTTAGCTTATTATTTTATTAAGAAATTACATTAAGATAATTTTGTATATCTTTAGGCGACGAAGAAGTTTCTGCATTTTTTCGAAGTAAGCCATATATATATACTATATATAGCAGTTACATATGTTCTAAAAGTGGCGGAGCTGTACTTGATTTACGGTGTGAATAAAACGATGATTTAATTAGCCGTTTTTATTTAAAATCAACCAAGATATGCCGCCCTCCCCTAACCCCGTGAATCAAGTACACCCCCCTAAAA